TTTTTTTTTTTTTTTTTAAATCCCTTCTAGATAGCTAAAGAGATTGCAATAGCCTGATAGGCAGGGAATAAATAGTAGGCTGGAATAAAAATGTCTATATAAGTAAGAAACCAAATGAGATGGAGAGCGTAGGACATTAGCCTATGCAGTTTGTTTGTACTGAACATGTATATGCCCTTTCCTCTAGTTACTTGGCAGTGTTGGTTTGACCTTTCAAAGATGAACCTGGTGTCATCATGAATTTTTGGATTGCAGAAACTTTTTTGGTTTGCTTTTAATCTCGGCTCAGCAATTCTTTTACTGTGTGGCCTCAAACAATCAATGCGCTCTGCTTTAACTTCTGTATAAAGTTAGATTGCTATTAATATTTAATAGAAAATTGTAAAATTCTATACATTTAACTTCAAAGAGGTCCAAATAAAATTTTATTATAGTTAAATGTAGCTTTTCACATAATTGCTTAAGATACATTTGACTGTGCTTTACCTAACAGCATCACATTAATTTGATATTAGTAATCTTCTGCAAATGTGGTGACTTGGCAAACAAAATTTTAAACTAAGTGTCTGAATTGTATTCTTGTACCATTTAACTTAGTTAATTGTAAAATAAATTCACATGTACTAGGGCAATTTTTGTTTTACAAGGGGAACACATTACACCAGTATGCTCAATCACTACAATCACTTTTGTCTTCCTATAAGTTGTTCCATTTAACACTAATGAGATATGCTCAGATTTAAGACTTCAGAGTATCTATTCTGTAGGAACTGTAGTAATGTTTTATCAAGCAGATCTACTCTTTCAGTTTTATATCTCCTCCTCAAAAATAAATATTTAAAGACTGTCTCTTGCACTTTATGATGCTCCTTCCTACAGTATCAAACTATAGTGAGAATCCCATGGATATTTTCCTGGTCCATTAAAATAATAATCCTTAAATCTTATCTAGACAGCTCTTTAAGCTCAAATGGTAAACAATTGATTGGACTTGTGTCTGTTGTATAAAATTGGCATCTGATTTTTAAGCAAAGCAATAACTACGTACTAGCCCCACATAACCTGAGGTTATCTGAAAGCTAATACTGAGGTCCATAGGCCTGCTTTCTAATCTTTCAGTGCAGACAGAATTCAAGCCATAGTAATTTAAACAGTCTACCACATTGTGATAAGTTGCAGAAGGAGAGTATTTCACCAAATGTGGGACTACAGCAAGCATTTGTTTAAAAAGATAATTTGCATTTCTTCCTCATCTTCACGCTTTGGATCAAATTCCTGATTTCTCATTGCCAAATCACTTTCAGTCCCAGGCCTCTTTTCAACCAGTTTTTGCATTCTACCACCAAGTTAAACATGAGCAGGTAGACCAGGGAAGATGATGCAAGAGTGGTTTGCACAAGAATGCTACAAAGCTAAAATTCAAACCTACACATCTTCTTTTGCTAGATAGCAATCAGTGCACCTAATTCAACATTTATAGTTGAACCATCACCGAATGCTGCTACCAGAAATTCAAAGTCCTTACTTAATGTTTGTATCATTGATATCGTCAGATCTTTTGGTTAGCCATGAACTTGAGTTTAGGATTGCTGATCGGAAGTAGTTTGCCCATAACTGGGCAGCAGCTCCTATGTGAACTCGCAGGGGCTAGGAATTACTGCTGTATGTTGGGGCAAACTGCTTCCAGTGCCTGGCTTTTTAGAGTATCTTACCTCTGTGCAAACCACTGGCTCTCTCTTTCAGCTAGGTTCTTGTTGGTGGAGGAATCGCTGTCTCATATAATAGTGCAGTATCAATATTTTGCCTCTGAGTATGTCAGTGACATATTTGTTGGGTCACGGCAGGTTTGCCCAAAGTTTGGAACTTCCTTGGAGGTACCAGCTTGCACAGAGACTATGTACTAACCTGGCTCTGCAGGAGGCAGCTCTCCATAGCATCTCTGGACTGGGTCACTTTACACCTTGCTTGATGTTCCCCTGTGCTCATTAAGTGAGGATTGCTGCTTATAGGACTTGAAAGCTAGTATGAAACAACCTTCTCTCTCTTACTCTTCTCACAACTCTCCTATGTTAGATATGCCTTTTACCAGCTCTGTTATAGCCTGACCAGTTTATAAGCTTTTCAAAGTCTCTGCAAGCATTTAGCTGAGACTTGCTAAAGTAAGCACTAAAATCCCTGCAAACGTTCCCACCGAGCATAGTCAAACATCACCACATGGTTCCCCCACAGGGGTGCTTGGGCATGTACTAACTAGCCTGTTGCTACAACTAACAGCATTAACCATCATGCCGTCATCCCTACAGAATGATTGCTTGGGCTTTAACTCAGAGCAACCACAAAACCCACTGACATACCAGGTCTGAACAAAGAATGTGTTTTTAAGCCACAAAGGACATGAATTGAGAGCTGCTGAGAAAAAGGTGCAAAGCTGGGAAGGGGTTATCTGTGAAAGGATCTCTGTGAGATGAGATGAAAAGGAGTGGGAAAATTAGTTCCTAGTCTGAGTCAAAGGAAAGAGGAAAAAAGCTGTGGGGCAGAAGTGGAATTGAGATTGACCAGCAAAAAAACTAATCGGTGTGTGGAAAAGCATTGCACTAGATTTCAATTAATCTTGTAGTTTTACATTACAAATTGTGTAATCAGCTC